AGCCAAAAGCTACCTATCATTTGCAGAATATTTCCAATTTATGTACTTTCTAATATTAGATCATGTTGTTGCATTTTCTCTCCGTCAAATTCCATTCATGTGGGGGATTGTTGGAAAAATGGTTTATATAGGCATATTTTGGGCCAACTTTGAGCCCAAAATTGAGTGGGCCTCGAACGTATTTTGGGGCGGGTTCGAAGAGGTGAAGTGTTCCTTGCCGTGTGGCAAGTCACACGGTGAAGACGGAATGTCAAAACCATTTATGAGTGAATGAGAAGTTGACGTCGTTTTCAGGTCTAATATTAATTTTATTTTAGACAAAATTCATTTGAATTTTTTCAATAAATAAAATTATTGTGGGAATTTTATTTAAATCTAAATTCAAATTTTTGGGTTCCTGAGTGGTTTCCTAAAGTTTGTCAAATAGATTAATATTTATATTCCAAACAGTTTTTAATAAATCTTTTCAATTGAATTGGCTTTATTTGATTGAACTATTCTAATAGTTTAATAAGAAATATTCCAAACAGTTTTAAACTTTGTTCACCAACGGCTATGTTTTCAAAATTGTTTGGAAGGGAAGTAGAAAACTGTTCCATGTGATACGGGCAGAAACTGTTTGAAACAGTTTTGCACCTGTTCACTACATGTTTTGTACCTGTTCGGGTCATTTGTTTGCCTATAAATACAATTCATTCCAGCAGTGTTTGTAGATCCGAAAATCAGTGCCTTTGCTGTCCAGATTGCTCTAGTGCATTTATTCTTCATATATTAGTTTTAGATTAAATAATCAAAGAGTTAGAACACAGGTTTGGTTCGCCGAACAATTTGTTTTGGAGTGCTATTACAAATTGGTTAAGATCATTGTATCTTGGGAGTTAGACGCCATTCAACCGTAAGCACCGTAGCGAGGCGAATCTGTCTTAAGGACAGAGTGTTACACACTTGACTTGGTTTTTAAATATTTATTCGGTTCAACAAAATAATTTCTGTAAATTTTATTATATTTTGTTTGAATTATTTCAATTTATTTTATTTACACAAAAGATTGTTCCAACATGACCTTCATTTCATACCTCATCTTTTCGTACTTATTCATATCGCTCTTATGGCCCCAACCTGGGAACATATAGATGATCCGAATTATCTACCTCATATGCCTCGCAATAAAGATTACCCATATAAAATGTGATTTATTTATGTGTTTATAGATGTCCAATGAAGCTTATTTTTTGTATGATCACCTTTATTGCGGGACCAACAAAATAGATGGTTGGGACCATCGATATGGGTTTGGGTTAGGGCCACAAAAGGGGTTTGGAGAGATATGGAAGAATAAAGATACGAAGGAGAGCTAATCCCAATTTCACAATTTTAAAAATTCAAATATATAACAAATTAAATTGATTCATTAATGTTGAGGTGCTTGTGGAGTTTAAGGAGTTGACCTTACAAGGTTCATTAAATAGAGAAAGTACTTATGTAATGGATACACTAATGTGGTGTACCCATTATACAAAGGGTCTGGCTTTGGTTCAATCCACGATCAAATTGGATCGTGCTGTTGGGCCCTTGGGGGCTCACCACGGGTCCCGTTTTGAAAATATGAATCACTCAATATGTAGAACTCGTCGAGTACTATATGCCTATAAAAAATCACGTTGATTGGATATCGATAGCTATGTGATTAAATCAGTTTTGTATAAAAAAAATGAACGGTGAATAAATTAACGGTTGACAAAAAACTATTTTGTTCACATAGCTATTGATATCCGATTAACGTGATTTTTTACAGACATCTAGTACTCGACGAGTTCTACATATTGAACGGTTCAGATTTTCAAAACGGAACCCATGGTGGGCCCCCACGGGCCCAACAGCACAGTCCAGTCCGATCGTGGACTAGACCAAAGCCAGACCCTTATACAAAATATCTCATCCCCAAATATTAAAGCTAAGATTCATAAAAAAGAATTAAGCAATTGGGGAAATGAAAGAAAATAGTGTAATCCTTCTATTGTTTTGGTTTTAAAAATAACATGAAATAAAAATAAGATTCATCAAACATGCTCTTAATACTTAATTTCATATTTTCTTTTTTAAAGAACTCAAAATTCTATAACTTTTACTCTACAAGTTTGTTTTCGATAAAAATAGTATTTTTGAAATACTTTCGACATTATATATCGAACAAGACCTATAAATTTTTAGAGAAGAAAAAAAAAAAAAAAAAAAACAGAGAATTTATTGTGTATATTGTTTTCAAATGGTGAAATTTCACTATTTATGGGCAGGAAAATTTCATTATCTTTTTAAATAGAGAAATTTCGAAATGAGGTAGTAAAATTACAAAATTGAAAGGAAAAAATAAAAATAAAAATTGGAGTACTTAATTTTTATTTGAATGCTAAAATCCCAAATTGAGGGTTATAAAATGACAATTATTTCATTGTGTCCACTGTACAAGGATAGTGAAATTTTACAGTTTTTTGTATAGTGAAATTTTGCTATCTTTTTGAGGGAAAAAAAAGAAAAAAAGGGAAGCAAATTAAGAGCTAAGAAAGCTTTAAAAGCTGAAAGCAACAACCATCACTGCCTACCATTCAAATATCTTATCATCCATATATATAGGTTCCAATAAGTGATATATAATAAGACTTCGATGATGCATTTATTTTGATGTCTAACATTCAAATCTCTTTCCCAATAAAAAAAGATAAAATAAAAAATTCAAATATCTTATCCATCTCTCTCTGTCATGTGTCTCCGGTTGGATCTGTCAATTCAAATTTTCTGTTTGGAGCCTTTTTTCTATCATGTTTTCTATTACTTTCTTTCCATTTTCTTGCTCTATTTTTGGCAACAAATGCACATTGGATACCGCCAATGCTATTCTTTTGTTCCACCTTTATCAAGTCTCCCCCATTCTATGAATAGGATATATACCATCCATATCAGCCTCATCATCATGTGAATTGAAGCTTATAGCTCTTGTGGTGCCAATTTAACATTATGTCAGTCAATCGACAAAGGTTTTGCAATAAGTTATTATATAAACCCAAAAAAAGTAGATAATTTGCCAAGGGCTTCTAGCCCAATTCAATTCTTGGTGTGCAAAAGCTTCTTTAGCTCTTATGTGTTTCACCTGCCTCTTGTCGGTTAGCGACTCCTCCTTCCCCCCATAACCTTAGGAGGGTAGGTTAGATGTATATATATTTCTGATCCTCAAAAACATAAAAGCAGAAAATATACAACTCCACTGCACAGGACTTACATGGAAATTGACAAAATAAAATAAAACTGTATGCAGTTCAATGTTTGGTATAATTGAAGACCAATTTAGGACAAACAGCTGTCCATTTACCAACTTGGACAGAATGTGGGATGAATTGCAATGAAGGGACAATGAAATTTCATTTTAAAGAATCAAACAATGTGCGGAAGGGGTTCAAATCATATCATCATTGTCTGATTCTGAATCAAACTTGGAACGAAAGTGACTGTTTTCACAAGCCTACAAGGGAAAGAAGAGCAACCAAGTGATCCGATTTAACTGTGAAAATTTGACTCTGGTAATGTTGCCCAGTGTGGCAACTAAGATTTCCGCCAAGTTGGTCAATAAGATTATGAGAGTTTTAACATTTTTTCACAGATCATTTTCTGTTGATGGAGATGGACCAACACATTAGTTTTCTTGCAGGCAAGCAAGTCAGTTTGATAACTTTCAACACGGCGCATAAATCAACTCCAAGTTAGACAACCACAATGATTATGTTATAACATCTAGAGGTATAATTTCTATCATTAACGGTGTCAAAAACTAGCAATGAATAAGAGACTCCAAAGTTTCTTGATTAACTTCAAGAAGATGTTCAAGCACAAAACTATTCAGTTTTCTTGTTAGTGTTATATGTAAATTACATTTCATTGGCAAATTATACTAGCTTGGCCATCAAAGCATAGATCTTTGGACACCAAAAGACACAAGGTGGGTGACCCAAAAGATATCTAGCTGTGTGTCTAACCGAATGCACCATAACAACCTTTCTGCAATTCTTCAACGAAGAGACCACCATAATGGATAGTGCGAACTAGAAAATGCAGAGTACAAGTAGGAGCTGAAGGAGATCGTTGAGAAAGATGAAGGAAGAGAGTACAACTCCAACTAGAGGAACAAGAGGTGGCTCAACCATTAGGCCCACTTAGCCCATTGCCTAAGGTCTATCATGAAAATCTAAAAATTCTTATTTCTAAAGGCTCTAATTTTTTAAAAGCTTCATGAGATAACTCCTAATTCTGATGTTTAGCCTAAGGTTTCAAAAAACCTTAGGCCCTACTGGGAACAACAGATTAGAAATATCAATGAAAACGGGTTAAATGTTGGTGTTGTGCAAGCAATGCCTATAAAGTCATTACCACATGAGTTCTAGATAATACGATTGCAAAGGAATTTGTTCATAGAACACTATTTTTTCTAGTTCCACATAAGCTCTAGATAATATGATTGCAGATGAATTCTGTTTTAAGTTGTGTTGGATTGAGCTGGAATCCAACTCAACAAGACTTCTAAAAGTCAGCTAAAAGGATCTTATTCATCAAGCCAGCTCTTTGTAATTTCAAATAAGCAATTATAAAAACTTGTGATACTTCTCTCCACAAATATGAAGCACTATGTTGTCTCAAAATAGAAAGAAAATAAAAAAGGCAAAAGAAAAACAAAACAATACAACTGGCTGTCTCTATTCCTGAGAATTCTAAGAGAAAAGGTTAGAACTTTAATTATGAGTGGCATAAAATTCCAGATGCTGCTTTTATTCAAGTAATTGATCACATACGAACCACTTGTCAAGATCTTCAAGATCAACTTCCAGTCTTAAAGAGAAACAAAGACAGGACTTTGACAGTCCGAAAAGAGAAGTGGAGTTTTAAGATTGAAATCCATGGAAGGGGAAAAAGACAGTGGCTAAAATGGGTTCCAAGTGATAAAGGGTTCCAAGTGATAAATGCAACAATAGTAATATATTAACCCCAAGAGATTTCACTTTGTGCAAAAGACGATAATATCTTATATTGCCAAAAATCCTCTCTAAAACTAAGAGAAAATTGCATTAATATGACTCTGAAACTCTATATATTTTCACAAACAAGTTGCTCAGCACTCCATCCAGACCTAAACAGAACAAAATAATTGAAGGGTACCTTACACTATCATTAACACACCTTTGAAAAATAAACAAGAAGTTAAGCCCAAACCCACCAAGCTGTTTGGCCCTTCACAGTTCCACCTGCACATTCCAGATCACAAACAACACTATAATGGAAGCAATAATATGCAAAACCTCTATGATTTACACAAAAAAAATTGCATATATATATGTATGTGTCAAGAAACAGAAAACCAAAGAGCACCTGTAGTTGGATGAAGCTGTGGAGACCAGAAAGATGGAGCAAACCAAATCCAGTTCCTATTGAATTCTCTCAGCTATGTCTTTCTTTCACTTTTGCAATTATACAAATACAGAAACCATCAATCAAAAACAAAAAAAAACAAAAAACAAAAAAACCCATCTTCTCAAAACTGTTTACTTCGTTTCCATGTTCGTCCCAAGTTGAATATATATATATATATATATTTATCTATATAATCATATCTGCAAATCTACTGTCCTGACCCTTGAGAATCATCCTTGGAAGATTGCTGCTGATGATGCTGATGCTGATGCTGATGTTGTTGTTGCTGTTGCTGTTGCTGTTGCATTCTAGCATGACCCATTTGCTGGTAAATCTGGCTCAAAGCTTGATGGTTCAAAACCCCAATATGCCCATCCTGTGAGAGCCCAAGCTCCAACCCAGGTAGATGCTGACTAGAACCACCCAAAATTGAGGTGAAACTCATAGGACCCATGTTGTTATTTGGCAAGTCAAACCCAGGAAACCCAATTTTATGAAGATAATTCGAACTTTCACTTCCCAAATTAGCTATTGATGGGCCAGTGGATGATGGTGATGACTGAAACCCAAAACCACTGACAACAGCAGGAGGAGGAGGAGGAGGAGGCCATATCCCAGCGGTGGCCACATGGGTCCTCCCCAAATTCCCACCAATCATCGTCTGCCAAGTGGCCCTACCACCCAATTCATCAATCTTTTGTTGCAACCCAGCCGAAATCGAGCTCCCCTGTTGCGAAACAGAGCCTCCAGCCGCCGCCAGAGCCGACGCCGGCATAGTTCCGGTCCCCGTAGCGGCCATAATCGACGGCTCGGCTTGCTGTAAGAGCCACTGAATGGTTTCGCCGTCTGATTTGTGACCCAATTCTCGGGTGAGCTGGAAGATTCTGGCGGCGCAAAGAGCTGGCATACGAATCCTCCTTCCTCTGCCTTCGACTTTTGTGTGGCGGTCTTTGTTGGAGCTTCTTTTTGGGGCTAAAGCTGCTAGCTGTTTCTTGTTGGCTGAGTCTTCTTCCTTCTCTGCAATCACAATCTGGAAATCTTTGATTTCAGCTGGCTTGTTCTCACCCATGTTTGTGTAGTATGGGTTTGTGTTTGGGAGGCCCTCCTGTCCTTGTGGCTGCTTTGTTGAGCCCTTGGGATCCATGAACAGGATTGTCTCTGTCTCTGCACAAAAATAATTTTTTAAAAATTATATACTATAAAAAGGGGCTTGTCCTCTTTAATTGAAGAAGGTGACCTCACAATATAACAAAATTTGAACACAGAAGAGAAATTAATAAAAAAGTTTTACTTTCATGGTTTTCACTGTTTTAGGCAAGGAATGTGGCACTCCTTAGTCAGATTTAACTCTAGGTTTATTGGTCTCTCTCCCATAAGTATTTCATTTCTATTATTGGGGAAATTTTTTGACTGTATATTTCTGGTTATGACTTCTGTGTATTTAATTATGATTTATTAAGGTGTTAGTTATGATATAGTTATATGTTATGATATTAGTTATAATTTATTATGATATTATTATAATTATATATTCTGAGAGTTCTTTAGTTATACATTTGTGGTTACTTCTATGAATGTCATAACTTGTATATACTACACACCCGTCTATTATAAATACCTTAATTTGTTACAAAATAGGATAAAAAAATTAAGTTGTAAATGAATCTGGTCAATCAGGTTGTGGAAAAGTTTGACACCGATTGAGTTTTTAGATTTTGTTGGTTAAGGAGTCAAAATTGATCAAATATTACTATTTGATTTTGTCAGTTTAGTGTAAGGAAATGATTCACTTTCACTTTAATTTTTTTGTAAAAACTTGTAGAATTTCACATAGGAAAAAATGAAAAAAAATTGGTTCAAGTTATTCTATAAATGTATCTTTTCCTAATTTTTATAAAAATATTTGAAAATAGATGGCAAATTAAAATTTTGATTCGTCTTTGAAGAGTTAATTTGGTTTCATCAATTTTTCTTATATCCATACTAAAAATACAAAAATTAGATAAAAAAAAAAAAAAAACATAAATAAGTTTTACAAAATTTATTCCTAAAACCCATTTCTCAAAAAATTTATCAATTCATTTATTATTTTGTGTTTTATATCTACATTTGATTTATGTATCTATTGGTCACTCTGTGGTGTGGTCTATTTCTATTTCTACCTATAGTCTAAATCAACCTCTTTTTCATTGTGGTGATTTTTGACCAGGACAGCCTCATTTTTAACTCCAAAATTCACCATATCAGGCAACCCATAATAGCTCCATTAAATTCTCAATTCCCACATTCTTCTTCTTCCATGGGGATTTTCCATCTCCCTTATTATTTCTTTCTCTGCCCTGCTTTCATGATATTATTGCAACAACAAGAACAACAACAAGAACAACAACAAATGTATATTGATGCCATCTCTTGTAAGGGACTCAACTCAAGTGTCCAGATGGAAGCTTAATCTGGGGACACCTGGCAGGCAATGAATGGGGGGTAGGTAGTGGGGTTAGCTTCTAACCCACTCTAGTCCCATCCTTAAGATATATTAAAAAAATAAATAAATAAATAAAGATTAAAGAAGGTATATAGAAATGGAATATCAGCAACCAGAAGTGATGGACCAACGTGTAGAGAAGAGATGGTGTGGTTTCAAAATGTTTTTTTTCTGTATGGAGATACTTTGTGGGCCCTTTGAGGGGCCTGGATGATACAAAAGAGTTTTTGATAGTTCATGGGCCATGTCCGGAATCCCATTTTCCATGCAGGTAATGCATCGGTTTTTCTTTATGTAACCTTCAATCACTGGTTGGCACATTAGCAACAAAAATAAAATAAATATAAAAAATTAGTAGAATATGTTAGCAAACACTTTATAGTTAGAAGGACGTGAACAGATAATTTTGCATTGATGCATATTTCTACTCAAGCTCTCTTCAATTCTTAAAAAAGAAAAAAATAATAAAATTGAAGATCATTTGCAACTCTTGAAGCGCTTCTTTTTGTTTTGAATTTTTTTGATAATCCCTATAGTCTTTGTAGTTCTAATTACAATAATATTACTATTGAAGTTTTTATAATGTATCAACTAATAAAACTTATTAAGAAATTAGATTGAAATCAAGGGACAAAATGGTTCATTTACTCTCTTCAAGGTAATTGAGAATTTGATATACAATTAATTTGATCCATTCTTGTTTGAATGTATCATTTTTTTTCCTTTGTTTTTCTTCCACTTTCTTAGTGAATATAATCTTATTCTTTTTTTGTCAATCAATAAGAGATTGAGTATAAATATGAGAAAAAATTATATTAAACTGAACAATTAAAGTCCAACAATGAATAGCTGAAAATTAATAGTCACTAGGCCCCAACAACCACCATAAGAAAAAGGTTAGACTTGGAAAGAAATAAACTACTACATATAAGCTTCATAATAAGAAAGAAATAATTAATCTTTGACGTCGGTAAAGATTGGCCCCTAAGAGCATCTCCAATGCACTGGGCATATCATACTTGTTAGTTAAAATGCCTAGTGTGATTCACTTTTTTCAATTCCAACGCACTAGGCATATGATTAGGCATTTTGGCTCATCTCATATTCACTAGCTACATGTAGCTAGCCTTCAACGCTAGGCAAAATGTATTCAATCATTAGGATCATTTCCCTCCATCTTTGTTGTTGACGTGGCATTCTATAAAATTAATAGTATTTGGATTAATAGCTAAAATAAAGAGCATGGTTGGAGTAAAAACATAAAACAGTTAATAGGCAAAATAAAATATATACTTTATAGTAATATTTAGATAGGTAAAATGCCTACTACCGTTGGAGATGCTCTAATCTCTTGAATAAGAGTTTATAAGAGTGCTTAACTGAACTAATTCACTTATTTTAACTCACTTGATTTAACTAATGTTATTAATAAACTAAATTTACAAAAATCAAATTAACATAATAAACAAATTTTGGGAATTCCATATATAAATTATTTATTTATTTTTACTATAGAAGAAAACAATAGCAAAGGGTATGGTTGTCATCAATACAAATATAGACTAAAATTGGTGACAAAGTTAATTGAGTGGATATGAATGAATGAATAAAAGGTCTAAGAAAATGACAGGCAATTCCTTCCTTGAATTACTCCGATGACAAAGATGCCCAATTTCTTTAACAGGTAACCCCCCATTTTCAATTGCGCGTTGAAAGCTATTTCTTCTTCATTAATTAATGCTTTATATTATATATTATTTATATATATATATATAGAGAGAGAGAGACAGAGAGAGAGAGAGAACATATATTGTAGGTGCACAATAAGAGAATAATAATGGTTTAATATAGAGAGAGAGAGAGAGACAGAGAGAGAGAGAGAGAGAACATATATTGTAGGTGCACAATAAGAGAATAATAATGGTTTAGGTAGGTGCATGTGAACACGTCTATGATTTGTACTATACATATAATTGAAGGGCCTCCATTTTTCCCCTTAATATAGTGAATTTGATTATTTGTTGAAAAAAAGCATGTAGATTGGTTATTTGAATCTCTAATTGTGACTTTTTTTTTTCTTTTTTTTCATGTAGTGAATGTTATTATTGGGTTTTGTGCATATTTACTAATGGATTTTAATTGATTGTCCAATTTCATGATATTTAGCTCATTGGGAGAGAATTGTGATAGTTTAAGGGATAAAATTAAAATTACCCTTATTTATAAATAGGGTCTTGTTAATATATACCTTTAGGACAAATTTCATGCAAAATGTATAATTTTTTTAAATTTCTTCACAGGTATCTTCAGACACACGTTAATAAAATCCTTACAAATATCATGTTACATAGTTTTGTTTATTTATTTTAAAAGTAAGTTAATTTGAATCTCTATGTCATATTTTCATAAGGCTATAGTCATGAATGAAATAGATGGGAAAAATAATATTCCAAGATTGCTTTTTTTATTGTCAAAATTCAAAAGTGAGCAAGTTGGCATGATTATTGTCTCCCCTTTCAACTACTGAAAGAACCACAATCTATATATATAGGATGAAATTTTACTGAACAAAAGTCGTATACTATCAGTGAAAGGTTTTCAAAACAAAGATACATGTAATTTTCATGCTTTTAAGATATATATATATGTGGAGAATTTTACGATACACACTTCTTATCATATGTATAGTTAATAACGTCATTTTTTTTAGTTATGATTAATTTTCTTGTTTAATTATGACATTATTTAAGATGTTTGGTTATGTTTCATATTTTCATTATGATTTTTTTTAAATTATGATTCGAAAAATATAAAATTTATTATTTTCTTCTTTAATTATAAGGTGTATATAAGACTAGCACATGAGAGATATGTACTATATTTTTTCATATATATTAAACTAAAACACATATTCTGGAGTGTGGAAAAAGTAGCTAACAGTGAAGAAGATTAGTAGCAAGTAATCTCTTCAAATTCGATCACTTTCATTGCATGGAAACATCCATGCATTTCAGGTCACCCTAGTGGGAATTCTGACACACTTTCTTCCTATTCTTTTATCATTCTTCCCAACTTGATTGCCAACCATCTTTAGAGGGCATTTGTATCAATCACAAAAAGAGTGAGACTGTGACTTTTTTCCCCCTCTGTCTTTTTTTAATTTAACCTTTGCTTTTGATGGGTAGAAGACACGAAGAAGTGATGTTAGAGATTTTTAAAATTGTTTATATTGATGTGATAGGAGAATGAATTTTAGTTTGTTGAATTTTAGTTTCTAAATAAATCAATAATTGATATGTAAATAATTCATGTGATTGAAATTAAATTTAGGCGTAAAATTTAAAGAGTCATAAGTATTTTTCAAATATAAATACATCAATGTTTCGGAGTAAGAAAAACATTATGTATTATGAAATTGTGCTATGAATTTTATCCTAAAAATGAGTTGAATAGTATTGATTTAAAGTTGGCAAAATGTGGACAATTTAGAATGATTACGGTCCATAAATGTATTTTTTTGAATAATTTTTGTGAGTTGCTAATATTTTTGTTGGGGGCAACACTCCTCAATAGTTTCAACTTTCACATGATCATGCTAGATCTATACTTTAATGCTTTATACAGTAAACACGAGGTGGATAGGGCCATAGCCCCCAAACTTTAAGAAATTCTCATTATTCTCATATTATTATTTTTAGCGTCTGTTAAAGAAATTCGTATTTTAA